AGCTGCTGCGCATCTAGCAGAGGGACAATTCTTAAATAAAGGGCAAACATTGAACAATGCAAAATCTCTGATATACCGAGCAGGAACTCGGAGACCAACAATTTCCAGGACAGAAGGGCAGAATTTAGAGCCAAAATAAACTTGAATAAGAAAGAGAGCATCAAGGCGATGTCTCCTAGTACATAAAGTATGTAATTTTAACTCCTCAAGAGCAAGAGAATAATTGTAATGAACTTGAGGACAGAAACGTTTAAAAAACATCTATATGTCTTTGTCATCTTTTACTGATTTTTCTTCATGTACCTAATAACATTATTTCAGCACTTTTGCATTGCTAAGTGGTAGTGATCTTTGTAGAATTAAATAAAAAGGACTTTTGAAGTTTAAATTATTGGTAATGGACGTGAGCACTTCTAGTGTCTTTAGGATTAGTGTTGCGAAGGATGAGGGTGTGAGACACAATCGTGTCCCCCCCTTTAAACTCTTTCACTGCACCAAGGTCCCCAGAATGCTATTTGGTACAGCTGATGTGCTGTGGTACTTTTCTGTCATAGTAACTTTAATTTATCAAGAAAACCTTGTTGGATTGTTTTGTTCTCTTACCATATCACTATTCTGATGTCGAAGAAGAATGGCATTGCCATATAGCAGAGTTCTGTGGCCTGATCCAGTACCTTTACCCTGTGGAAACCAAAAAAATAATTATGAATTAGGCCAAACAAACCCATAAAATCTAAGTTTTTAATACAGAGGAGAAATTTGTGTCCCAAAATAAGTTATTACACTCCACAAAATATGAAATATTTTGGTTGTAAGATTTCTATTTTGAGGTTTTCATACACTGATAGTTACTGCTGAAAGTGTGGTTTGTACACGTCTAGCCAGTGAGCATTAATGATTTTTAAAACCCTGATCTTAAAATTGATGGAAATGTATTGTTAATATTCCAGTATCTGCAGTTTTATCCACAGCATCTCCCATCTTTAAATTATATTATTAACAGGCTCAAAACTAAAATTGACTTCTCAGAGAGAGGTTTTGGTTTGGAAGTAATTATATTAACATCAAATTTTTATTGAGAGGGGTGTTGTCACATCAGCAGTTCATGGTTCATTGAATGAAAATACAGGGATCTTGTTGATTTCATATTTTAATATGATGTAAATTGTACAGGTGGACTCAAACTCTGACTTGTGTTCCCATGGAGTATTAACAGAAGAAAGTGAACCTTACTGACCATTATTTCTCCTTAGTTTCCAGAATCATAAATCCCTTCTTTCTTACACCGTTGATCTGTTGGCTCCAGTGACAATAAATGCCTAAGGGTTACAGTTCATGTTCTGATAACCTTCCATTTTGGTGATGAACTTATAATTTCTAAGTGAGTCAAAGAAGGAATGAATTTATGAAGTCATTATTTCTGTCTTACCAAACTCATCTGTCTGATTTTGTTAAAATTTGTAATTCATCACGTCCCAGCTCTGAACCTGTCATCTCTACTCTCATTATTGTCTTATATCCTGATTGGTACAGATGAACACATTATGCAGTTACAATACAGCAGTGTGAACAATACATCTTAAGTAGGTATATTTTTAATATTGTAATATAAGCAGCTTGTCCTGTGGATGAAGCATGTGTAGGCTGATCCTTTGGATATAGAAAGCAGAGCTCTGAGGAAAAATATGTCATTTAACTGCAACAGATTTCCGAATATAAGAAGGATGTTTCTCTAGTCATTTTAAATCATACTTTGATGTTCAGCAGGTCAACTAGCGTCTGAAATGATACATGTTCTGGGGCCACAGGCACAGGCTCCTATAAATGTCCCAGTGAAAAGATGGAAAAATACACACATATGCTTGTAAAAATATAGTATGAAGAAAGAAACCGCAATTACAGTTAACTAACTTTATGGAGCTTAGTCCTTCTTGAGAAGCAAATGTCACTCAGTTAATTAAGATGTTCCGCACCATTTATGAAACCAGAAATTCAGTATACTCATAAGACTGGACCATCAGACTGTATTCAAAGCCAGTTGAATCCATTCCACTTCCTCACACATTATTTCCTTAAGACCAGTTTCAATACGTACTGCTCTTCAGTCTACAACTTTGTCTCCCAAGTGGCCTATTCCTATCAGATTTTGCAATTAAATTTCATATGCATTTTGCACATCTTCACTGTGGTTCTTGCCCATCACATGCTCCTTAATTATACTGTTCTAATAATCTTTGATAAAAGAATGCAAATTACAAAGCTTCTCATTAACTTATTTTTCCAACATGCTGTTACTTCCTCCCTCTTACTTACTTACTTACTCATGGCGCTGAGGCCTTCTGGAGGAGCCACCAATTCTGCAGCTACTCAAGAATTTCCCAGCATTTTATGGAACCCGAAGGTTCATTATCATGTTCACAAGAGCCCTCCACTGGTCCCTATCCTGAGCCACATCTCGCCAATCCATACCATCCCATCCTATCTCTCTAAGATCCATTCTAATATTGTCCACCCACCTACGCCTTGGTCTTCCCTGTGGTCTCTTTCCTTCTGGTTTTCCCACCAATATCCTATACGCATTCCTCGTCTCCCCCATTCATGCTACATGACCTGCCCACCTCATCCTACTTCCTCCCTCTTTGGTCAAAATATTTTTCTCAGTATCCTATTCTCGAACATCTTTAATCTGTATTGTTCCTTTAGGGCGTTGAACCAAATTTCGTACCCATGCTAAAGAACATGAAATAGCTGTAATTAAGTCTACATGTTTAAAAGAACTTTTATATTTGGAGTGCCAATCTGCATTCTCTACTGCAGTAATTAATCGATAACGGATCGTCTTTCTTCTAGAATGATAATTTTGTGGAATGATTATTCAATTTCTAAATTCGTTGTAACAAACAAAATGTGAACTTCTTCCATCTTTTCCATCTGTCAAATTTCTCTTTCATATTCCTTTTCTGATGCTGCAACATTTGAAGCGACAAAGCGTATCAGGAGGGGCTATCTCGACGATAATGATGCTACTTAACAGTTCCTGGGGAGTAAAGCGCGGCCGGCGCGTAAGGGTGACAAACTTACCGCCATCTTTGAGCCGACTGTGTAAGATTTGAGGCTTTCACGGCGGTGACTATGAAGAAAGTAGTCTTCTGGGATTTGGCACCGTNACTTTACTTACTTTACTTTACTTAACAGTTAAATGCTCAGCAGTTATCTTGACACGCCGTAGAGATAACTGTGTTTATAAAGATGCTACTAACCCGAAAGAATTTAATGGGACGAAATAATCGGAAGAGTGAAACATAGAAGCTTACACGAAGTCATTTCTGGAGGCGATTTCTTAACTATGTACAGTGTAAGATCTAAAAGTTTGTAACGATGGATAATGTCCAAAAACATAATACTTGTATGTACAGTGTATTTATTGTTTCGGTAGGTACACCTTAGAATGAAATTTATGTTCACAGTGTTCTGGTACCTACAATTAGTTGTCTTGAACATTGCATTGCAGTTCCTCGCAGTCTTTCTTCTCATAGAGGGCAATCTATTTTATGTATTCAAATTGCATAGGCCGGTTTAAATACATCATTGTAAGTCAGACGCTGAAAATGCGTCTTCTTTGTTAGAATAATTAAATTATTTTTTGTATCAATACATGCTATTTAACATAATTAAAACGACTGTATGAGGGTTCTTAATCTAAATGCCTTAATTTTATTGTATCTCCAACTAACTGAACCGTGTACAAATTCCCCGGGGTGAATATTCCTGTCCTGTATTATCCTTGTGGTGAAAATAAAAGAAACATTAATTTTCAGCGTCACATGGTGAAGTTGAATTGGCGAGTGGAGGTATAATTCCACGCATTCTTAACTTTGGTATTAGATGAAGATGAATTATCAGCTTCTTGCCCTTGCCGGTTTATCCCAGACAGGAAGCCCGCGGAACCAACCAGGCAGAAGGCTGGATGATCCTCAGAATTTCTGGGGACCATCTCCTATTCAATTTTTACCGGAAACTCTGTTCCCAGGATTAAAGCGGCCAGCTTTTGGGAGAAGTAGTTACTTTAATTCCCCAAAACAACGTAGCTCGTTCAATGCTGAAAATAACAATAAAAACTTCAGGGTTTTGTCAAAAGGTAAAGAAGGTAAAGCTGTCCCTATAACAGGCCATGAAGGCCTGGGGTTGTGAGACGTCAAGTCTCCCACATTTTCTAGACAATTAGCTGACAGATGACTGACGTTGTCAGCCTTATGCGCCGGTCTCCCTTTACCCCAACGAAGATTCCTAGTACTTATTTCTATTGGAGGCTGAGTCGACCCCAGGGCCCTAGTGCGGCTGGAAGGACTAGATCAATTGAAAAATCCAGTGACCTCATCGGGAATCTTAACCGCGACCTCCCAACTTTTAGCATAATGCCTTAACAAACTACGCTACCTCGTGCCTCCCTTCAGGGTTTTATAATTTAATTAAATTTTGTGACATAAGTCTAGAGTACACTAATTGTGACAAAAGAATATTTTGTATAATTTCCCTTCCCACAATTCTAACAGCATTTAATGTAAAAGTACTTTCATACAAAATGCAGGAGATTTGTACACACATTTATGTCTTTTATTAATGCAGTGATAACATCATAAGAGCGGATGTGCTGCATTCGTTCTGAAATGGCATGAAGAGAATTTCCGAAGTTAAACCATTTGCTTCCAAAGTTGAAGTTCACACAAAACTCATTCCAAAACCACTTTATGCTTGACATGCAACCTCTTTTGCGTATGTTATATATCCAGTGTAAACTTATAAAACACTTCAACATTTCCATTGCGATTAATATGCCAACAAATCCTGATTAGTGAAGCTTATTCATATTGTCAATTCACATCAGATTTAAGTAAAAGAAACCACACAGTGATTTAGTTTTGAAAGGTTGTTAGAAAATAAGGCAGTTGTTTATTTATTAAACGTTTTAGGTTATTTGCTTGAAGTCAGACACAATTATAGAAAGAGAACTGTGAGCGAAACACCAACTGGGAGCCAGAACGTAGAGCACAATTTCGCGTTCCCTGAGAACTTAAAGCTCTGTTAGTACAAATCCAATGAAAGGCCAAAATATCAGAGAGAAATAAATATCTATGAACTTGCAGAAGCACTACGGGTTGTTTCGTTCGTAAACACTCGCCTAGACCTTACAGCGTGTTCCTATGGAACATTTCCTTTGAGTATTTACGAAGAGAACATTAAATAATCACACTACTAGAAAGATTGAAGAAATTACAGTAATAGCTTTAAAGGAAGTTACTGGAAAAATGTACGTATTACTGTCTACCATGCACTGCTACAGGTAGGAGTACTAAGTATGAGGAAGAACCGGTACGTGAGTTGCGTCGACAAACAGAAACGGTTCTCAGAGCAAGAATACTGGCCTGTCCAACAGACGTGGAAGTCAGGGCAGTTATAATGTTATTGGACAATAATACTGGTGTTGTTCGTGCTAAAGAAAACACATGAACTTGCAACTGATCAGTATTTATGAAAATCAAGAAAACTGATCTATAACGAGTCACATAAGCTAAGTAGATGTACCGAAGGATCAAAACACGAGGAAATTTCCTGCATATATTACTAATTTTTTAAAATAAAATACTTCTAATTCATCAGGCAATTGGAAATACTGACCGAAAGATTGAAAGTGTATGTGAATATTCTCAAGCAGAAAGAATGCATTCTTAATGTTCTGTAACCCTTATATACGGATCTGTAAACACTAATCTGAATGAAAGACAGAGCATATTCTTCTGAAATATTTTTATCTCTGTCCTTTTAGATGTGGTTTAGGGAATCGTTTTCGTATTAAATCAATTCCACTATCCTTTCCTGTCATTCACACTTATAAAAATGTTAAAGGAAATTATATTCATAACATGAATATGGCTGCGACAAAAAGGTGGTTCGTACGTTTCTGTTCAGACTACAATTTTTTTTAAATACGCTGTTTGGCCACCCATCTAGGCCATGTCTGTCGGCTGCTGATACCATGTTTTATCTTGAACACTTCTGTCTCTGAGAACAGTGAGAGGAATAATAAAGAGAGAAAATAAAATGATTAAAAAACCGTGTTAAAATAAACTTAAACCGAAGTTCATAACCTCAGAAAATGTACTTACGAGAGATTCTTGTTCCTGAAAAAGAAAATATATGCTCTGTTGAACAAAAATTATTATTTGATGTCATGTGCCCTGTGCAATTAATATTATTGATAGAAGTACATGTTTAAATAATACCAGTGGTTTAACACAAAATAATACAGCTCTTTATTCAATATTTTGTAGAGAACAAAAACACAGGATATATATGGGACTATGAAGAGCGACAGCAAGTATTCATTCCGTTCTACATAGATCACACGATACTGTAACAGTTGTATGATGATATACTGACAAATATATATATATAGCATAATAGTATAATATATATTTGTTACATCTTTTGCTGTAATCCTGTGGTTGTGAGTTATTTTAAGACGCTATGCTATCAATACTGAAACCGTCGATCGATGAATGATGAATTGGAAACGGTTTGAAAGGAAGCGACCATATCCTAATCAAGATATTATCCAGGCATTTGTCTGGAGGAATTGAAGGAAATCACAAGAACTCGGGTTAATCCATGCCTCGGCCGAGATTCGAACCTATGCCCCGAATACAAGTCTAGACCAGTCTGTTGGGTATCTTCATATAATGCAAACATTCGTATGACTAGCAGTCGGTGTGTAGTAAATTTAGGTACTGCAGCCATTGAAACTGCATTTGATTTATGTGTAATAAAATCAGTTCATGTACGGGCAAATAAAAGGAAAATCGTGTTTAGATAAGGAGGACTTTCGACTATTTTATACAATTATATTTATTTATGTTTGTTCCGAGATATTAACAGTTTTGTACTTTGTGGAATGTCATACTTATGTCTCAGTACATACATGAATCTCACTAAATAATAAGCCTATTGAGAGAACATAAAATACTTTTACGAAAATTCTCTATTGCAACTGCTCACTCACTCACTCATGGAGCTGAGCCCTTCTTGAGAAGCCGCCAATTGTGCAGCTACTCAAGAACGTCCCAGCATTTTATGGAACCCGAAGGTTCATTACCGTGTTCACAAGAACCTTCCACTGGTCTCTATCCTGAGCCAGATCCAATCCATAGAATCTCATCCTACCTCTCTAAGATCCATCTTAATATTGTCCTCTCACCTACGCCTTGGCCTTTCCAGTGGTCTCCTTCCTTCCGGCTTTCCCACCAATATCCTATATGCATTTCTCCTCTCCCCCCATTCGTGTTACATTCCCTGCCCATGTCATCCTCCTTGACTTTTTTACAATACGTTCTATAAAAGGTTTCATTATAATAAATAACACATAAAGTACAATAATGTGGATTTGGTTTTCAAACAATTGGAATGCCTAACAATGGCGACATTATTTGGGAGGAACATAAGAGAGATTAGAGGAATTCCAAGCCGCGTGATGACCATTCCTGCAGCTTTAAACATTTATTATGTTCTACTCAGTACTTGCAAGTTTTCTCATGAAAGTGAACCACAAATGAATTCATTAACTCTCAACAAGCCAACACTTCTTAATGGGATGACACTTTCTTCAGGTTCAGGATAACTGAGGGGATACGAGCAGTGCTAATCTGAAAATATTATCTTTCCTGAAACCGGAAGTTATTTCGTGTTTTTCTCTCCGAGTTTCTTCTACCATATATGCGGGTTTCCAATTCATATGTTTTCTGGCTCCAGTAGGATAATTAATATTCATCTGGGTGTAGAAACTCCGAAGCAATAAGATTTGTATGACAAATATAAATATGAAAATATGGGCAGGATAAAGGCACGATCATATTTCGCATTCCTCATAGCTGTGTACATTATTACGCAGATGATATATCTTGCTCTCATGCTGAAGCGTACAGTTACTGAATTCAAATATCTGCCATTTAAAGTACTGCTTCAAATGTGGCATATTCGGCAGGGAGGCCCAGGTTCCAGAACATAGACGCGGGGACTCCGAATGTTATGAAAAATTCAGAGTCACAAGGAAAACAAACTCATATTCAAAACTCTCCCTTAAAATAATCACAAGTCAATAACAGCTAATTTTGTGTAATTGGCTTCATATTAGGAGTAGCAATCCATACACCCATGCATGCTGTACATGTTGTTAGGGCATGTAATTAATTTTCTCCTTTTAATTAATTTCGATCACTTTCAGTGCATTTTAATACTGTTATAATGGGCAGAAATTAATAATATTAGGCACTTTTTATTATACAGATACACAAAGTAACACTGATAGAGAAATAATCTTCATATTGAACTGTAATATCTTTGAACAAGTATAATAGTACAGTAGTGTAATAGCAACATAGGCTTCTATATTGACATCAGAATGAATCAGGAAGATTCAGACACGAAGGTATCCACTGATAACTCAAACAAATTCGCTTTTCCACGTCAAATATTTCTTTTCCTATTAACAAAGGCGAGACAACCGAATTTGTATGCACATCGAATTCAGCAGCACGTCCATTTGTGACATTTACAAGCTTTTTAAGTGATTAGTACGTTCTGTTTTATGTTGGCAGTTTGGAGCCATGCTGAGACCAGTTGACCTTACCGTCTCTGAGCCGGCAGCGGTGACTAGTTCCTGAAGAGCGCGAACTGACAAGGCTTGTTCTATTACGAACACGCATTGTGACAGGTCAGGTGGGATGTTCTGAAACAGTGAATACAATTAAATCATTATTAAGCCAGGTCCAGGGGTACCTCATCTGCTGGGCGGTTATTGGCATGTAATGTAACAAGGCAATGACAATATTTCCGCTGTGCATATGCATCAAGATATAAAAGCAGTCTATATAGGAACCACTCAAATAATCCAAATCAGTACATATTGACTTTACAAACAAGAGGATTACACAACAATCAGTCTTCATCAATGGCACTCAAGTTCCATGCGCCAACACAGCGAAATGTCTTTGAATAACTCTAGACGCCAAGTTACAGTGGAAAGAGCATATCAAGAAAAAACGTGATGAGCTCAACAATAAGTTCAGAAATATGTATTGGTTGCTTGGACGCAATTCTGAGCTATCAGTCCACAATAAACTTACACTGTACAAACAAACTCTACGTCCAGTTTGGAGTTATGGTATCCAGCTCTGGGGCTGCGCCAGTGAATCCAATATTCAAGCATATATTAAAATTGAGTTAGTGCATGACTCTTTGCTCTTCATGAGGTTTGTAATTACGGAGGGGTGTGAAATATATTGAGCAATACATAAAGCATATATTATTGCAGTTTTACAGTTGTGATGTCGTTAAAATTAAGGTTATGATGAAATTTTATTGTCTATAAATTATAATAGCATGGTTTCTGAAATGCAATGAAGACATTTGTTTGAATTCTTTATGGACACTATACAGCCGACGCAAAGAGACAATACCTACCGTTTTACTGCCGTTATTTATAAGTTTTCAGCTAAGTCCTCATTTATAAAAGTAATCTTATCTTAAATTCACAGTTCGAAAGAGGCTGACGTATACTTAACCTATTATTTTACGACTATATATCAACAACTGCAGTTATTGACTAAGAATCTTGTATATCAGCAGCGTCGTTAAATAATCTGCAAATCAATTGTGAGAACAAGTGTGCTTAATCCGATGAAAATGCATTTGGTGGATTTTATTTCCAGTAGAATTCGGTTTTTGTACCGGAACACACAATCTCATACAGAGTCATAGGCATATTTCATACGAGTCTCCATTTTATTTAATTCTAGCTATCGCTCCTTCACAAGAGTTAGAATTAATTTTTTATTGTATCTTCTTCGCGGTGTTGAAGAATAATATATTTGTAATCTGCATGCAGAATACTATCAGAAATACGACGTTCTACAGCCCAAAGTTTAATCACATTATTGAAAAGTTTAGAGCTACCCGACATGTCGTCATAACATCCACGCGTCATAGGAAACTCGATCTGAATGAAGACTTACCTTATCTGCTATGGTTTCCAGGTAACAATGTCTGTTGCCGAAGCCTTCGGCTGCCAAGCACACTCTTTCACCGGTGGCTGTGCATGACAAGCACACCATATCTTCCTGTGTGCAGAGAAAGAGATAATAGCCAGTCAGTGAAAGTGTCCATTGTACTTTACGTGCTTTCTAATAAACGGCTGAAAATGTTCAGTTTATGTGAAAAACCTTTTCTCTCCATGGAAAATATGAATATTTAATTATGTAGCAAATCAGAATATAAGCATCAGCATGAGACAGGTCTTTCGTCTGAAATGTTAACGTCAGTGAAAAATGTTCAGCATTCTTATATTCACTGAAACAATAGCAATCAGTCTATATAAGTTGCGTATCTCTTTTATTAAAAAAAAACTTGTAATGTTTTTGAAAGTGTGAACATTAGAAAAACTTCATGACCTGCTATTATATGAGGCATGTGAATTTTAATGGAGGTCCCTGTAATAAAATTACAGCTACTAAATGCAGTCAAATTTATACTCCTATTTACAGGAAAACATTAATTCAGAAGGAAATGTAAGTACATAACATATTTGACGAGAGTTCAACTAGCCAATTAACGCATTATAGGTACCTGATGTGCTTGAATTATGCTGTTACTGCCTCCTAACCGACCTCATAAAGCATCGTTCAACAACGCGAGAATGAATACGTCTTCCTCTAGGATTAATACACTCGCGCCCTAAGTGCAGCTCCTTTTATCTATATATACGGATTTAAAACATAATGTCAGTTATTCACACAGTTTGGCTACCAGTAATCCTAGATATAGACGGAAGAACGAAACACATGTCCCGAAGTCCTCTCTTTTAAAATATAAAAACCTTTTAAAATTTATAGAGTTATTATATTTATTTACAATAGATGGCCAAAGAGTACAGCTGGATAAAATCTGTATCGTTAAATTCCAAATTGTGTAAATAAATTAGCAAATAAAAGAAACAATGGAAGTTTTTGTTTTGTGATTCATTTTAAGCAGAAGGAAATAGGAGAGTGGGGAAGACCAAGGTTAAGATGGGAAGAATGTGTGTGGCAGGACATAAGAATTTTGGGTGTAAAGAACTGGAGGAATGTAGCATCGAATAGAGAAGAATGGTCAGCAATCCTGAGGAAAGCCAGGGCTCAGAAAGGGGCTGTCGTGCCAGTGATAATGATGATGATGATGATGATGATGATGATGATGATGATGATGATTCATTTTAAGGGTTTTCGAAGCTAAATTATAGTTTGTGATATAATAATGAACTACACACGTATTAAGAAATTTCAGAGATTATGCTGCATGAAGTTATAGACGTTTGGACGAAAAAATGTTCATACCGAAACTGAAGCGCTCTGCGGACTGAGATTCATTAAGCGAACAGTGCATGTATTTCTATTATATATAATATATAAATATATATGCTCTTACGTTAATAATTAAGCTTTGAAGCATGCAATGGCATGGGATCAGGCTTCAAACAGAGCCATATTAACATGTTGTATCCACATAATATCGCATATTCACAAAATGTGAGCAAAATTATTTGCTGAAAATTTTTATTCAAATATAAAAATACAAATTTCCATAACTTAACTAGGCTTTATATGCTATTTTCCACAAGTAAAGTGAGAACGAAAGAAGTTTGTTGTATGCAAATATACGGATCCCAAGTTCAGTGACATAAAAATATGTGATAATTTCCACCAACTGCAATTTGGAACTAAAATATTGTATATACTGTTTTAAACCGATAAATTAAGCTTTGAAAATAATGTTGAAATACAGGCGAAACTTCAGGTAAATAAAATTCGTCATTATAAACCACATCCGGACAACTTCTATGATCTCTGGACTCCTAGAATACAGTTTTTCTTTAACACCAGGTCGAAGTTGTAAAATAGATAAAATTTCTTCCAAAGTTCCAACATACGTATGTGTAGCTTGCAGTCTTTTAGCTATCTCCGACATTGGAACGTTTCTTTTATACATTCCTTCATATTATATGATAATGTTCTAATCGGATTTTTTCTTTGGACCTTGTTTCCCATTATGATTTTGAAAAATTCTACACAGAATTATATGGACGGCATGTGAAGCCAGAGACGGTGGATTTATAAAAATCAAACATGTCTCCATGCGTTGAATAAAAATAGTTACTTTATATAACTGCCCTCGAATCCCTTACTTGGACAGAAGGTTTCATTATTAACTGACTCTTAAGCATACAGATTTCATTTCTCAGAGCGCCTAACAGTATGATTACATGCATTGCATGTGCTGAAGATGTTGCCTGCTACGTACAGGGCAATACACTTCAGCTACGGCTGCTCTGAGGCATAATCACCTTGCCCCTTCCAGGTTTGCATCTAGAAGGTACCTATATAAAAATCATGACGTCATACGCTGATTCACCTCACAACACCTCTCATATCCGGTTCCCACACTCTTCCTTTCTTACAGTGGACATACAAATGTTCTCAGCAAGAGCAGTGGCCACCTCTGGACCAGAGGGTAAATGTTAGGTTATGTTATCTTTATTTCCCGACAATTTTTCAGAACAACTTTTGACATCTACTTTCCTTAAAATGTTCCAGGCTCACAGCAGCAATAAGTTATGTTAAGTTTATAGTATTCAATCATCCGTTTCTATGCATTTTGATTTGCCATTGTGCAGATTTTGATCGCATTAGATATGTTTTCCAATGACGCGATGTTTATATTTTGCGACACATAACAGATATTCGATATAAAATTTGTTAATGTACCGTATTTACGCATGTATAGGCCTCGTGCGTGTATAGGCCGCAGCACAATTTTCAGACAGAAATTATAGAAAAAATAATTTTCTTGGAATATCATTTCAGGAGTAGAACACACTGTATTACTAATTATGGATATATTTTTTTTAAATGAAGTGTGATTTCGATTATTTCGAATATAAGCCGCACCCCAGTTTTCCTCTTGAATTTTTGGCAAAAAATGTGCGGCCTATACATGCGTAAATACGGTATTTATAGTCTATTTCCATGAAATTCCACGTAGCTAGACTGAACATTTTTTTATTGATGAATGTTATAAAATCCAAAGCTAAAACGAGATTTTTGGTGACCGCCCTGTTGTTTTCTTTTTACCTCGTATATCCCTTCGAAAGTTTCATGCTTTTCGAATATCTATCACCATATCAAATTTTGGAACCCTATATTACGTGTTACTGTTATAGGTTCTACGTAGTACCTCAAAAGTTCGTACGACGGGCATGCTGCCGTTAGTGATAGTAAGAAATTATGAAGCGCATGGTTGAAGTGTTTTCTAGTGTCATGGTAAGTCACATCACGTTTCGTAAAAATCCGTCATTACTTCAAATGAGGCAGGCACGCAGACACATACATTGTGATACCATAGCGGTGTCTTTCCCAATAATAAAACAAGAAGCGGACGCCAGAATCAAATAGGATCAAAAGAAGGCGATTGAACATAATTTCGATTACGCATGCGGTGCTGGCAGGTTACTCAGTCCTGCTCATTGGATTGCCTCCGAGTATGTAAGTGACGAGGAGGTCTGTTGTTCTTTCCACGGATAGCAGAATGCAGTTCTTATTTTTCTCAGCCACGGTCCCAAACCCCCGTCTCATCCGCTGTAAAGAATTTCGAAGTACATGAAACATTTAATTCAATATTTGTTACACACATAATCCGATTTAAATGGATTCTGTTTGCGCACTTTCTTACATACACGATTAGCTCAACATAACAAAATTAAAGACGAAATTTCCAAATTACAGAAAAGGATGTTAAAAAGTCTTACAAATTATAGTTGGTAACCCTGCTTTCTCCTTTAATGAATCTCCGCAAATTTCCAGTGCCCTTAATTTAAACACATTCAGTTACCTTGAGTAGAATTTATGATGAAAACCAATATTACGAAAAGTAATTCATGCTTTTTTAACGTAAATTCAATATCATTACCATAGTCTGATCAAGAACATTCTTAATTTAACTCCTTTAAGTTATCTCCAGAAGCATTTTTAGCAAGCACCATTATTACATAAACTCGTTCTGCAACACGAAATTTAAGCCTTTGCTTTTCTGTTATTACAATATCATTTCATTGTTAATTAACGAAAAGATCATAACCGCGAGGTTTCATTGTTGAATATATCCGTTCAAGAACAAAACAACAATTTATAAAGACAAGTCTGCCAAAGATGATATCTTCGATTCAGGTGTGCGAGTTCTGCTCAAATATTCAGCATGTCGAAAGTGTGATACCAGCAGAAATCCAGGCACAATATTTATGCGTCGGCACTGCATATGGTTTAGCGATCACGTACGTGTATGAGCATTATATCTCTCTGTGTGAGAGAGAAGCAGAGAGAGGGAAATCTGTCTTGAAATCGATAGTTACTTCTGCTCCGCAACCAAAATGTGCACCTTAAACGGATTAAGCGAGAGTGGAAATATGTAGCACATGAAAGCATACATATTTCAAAGGCATTATTTGTTACTTTTAATATACTGTTAGATTTATAGTCTATTTAATATATATATCTGTGTGTGTGTGTGTGTAACGCACTACATAGAATCAGAAGTTGCTTTTACCTCTCTTTTATCAAATATCAGCCATGCCGAAAAAATGCTTCAGCAAAAAATTTTACATCCTAAGAAAATTATATTTTATTAACTTTTCATGCCGGTCACGGTTGCCGAGCGGTCTAAGGCATGTACTGTCTTCGCTCGCTTGGAAACCGGGATCGTGGGTTCGGATCCCACTCAGGGCATGGATGTTTAGTTTGTGTGTGTGCGTTTTTCTGTGTTTGTGTACAGGTAGAGGCCTTGCGACGAGCTGATCACCCGCCCAAGGAGTCCTACCGAATGTGTAAGATCTAGAAAAAACCGAAGTGAACGGTGAAGTTCATGGAACTAGGCCTAGGCCCACTGGGGCTGTAGTGCCAAGAAAAAGAAAATACTTTTCATACACATAGATATACCTACATTAATATTTTAAAGAGTTTCTTCTAAATAATACACGCAATTCAGTTCGCACCTAAGAGAAAATATTAAGTCCAAGCCAAACAAAGATCAGCCG